TGAATGTTTTGGTTGTGAAAGCATTTTGGGTTTATCAAATACTTGCATCTGTTGAAATGATCATATAGTTTTTGTTCTTTATTAATATGGTTTATTTCATTGATTGAATTTTATATGAGTCAATATTGCATTCCTGGGATAATTCTCACTGGGTCATGATATATAATCCATTTTATATCTTGCTAGATTTGGTTCGCTAAGAGTATGTCAAGAAGCTTTGCATCTATTTTCTTAAAATCTATTGATATTCAGTTTGGGGTTGGTTTGTTTTTACTTGTGATATCTTTGCTTTTGGTTTCAGAGTAATAATGACCTTATAGACTGAGTTGGTCAGTATTTTCTTCTTCAATTTTTTGAGAAGAATTGTACAGGTTTGGTGTTAAATAATTTTTAAATATTTGGTGAATATATCACCAGTGAAGCCATCTGGTTCTGACTCCTTTTTTGTGAGAACTTTTTTTATTATTAATTCAGTCATTTTATTTGTTATAGGTGTATTCATATTTCCTGTTTCTTGAGTCTGTTTTAATAGTTTATATTTTACTGGAAGTATTTTAATGTAGGCTATTCAGTTTTTTTGTTCTAAAATTATTTTTATTATTTCCTTATTACTCTTTTTTTCTATACGGTCTCTAGTAATCATTTCTGATTTTAGTAATTAAAGTTTTGTTGGTCTGTCCAGCTAAAACATTGCCAAATAATTTATGATTTCAAAGAAGCAGCTTTGGTTTTCATTGGTTTTGTCTGATCTAATTTATTTTCATTCTAATCTTTATATTCCACAGTACTGAATTTGGATTGCTCTTCTTTTTCTACTGTTTAAGGTGAAAGGTTTAGGTTATTGATTTGAGGTCTTCTTTTTCATGTAGGTATTTATTGCTGTATTTCTCTTTAATCACTGTTTTATTTACATACACATTTTATGTGTTTTGTTTTCACTTACATTTCTCTCAAAGTTTTTTCTAATTATACAAATTTCATTCTTTTATTATTCTCCGATTTCATTTCATTTTGACCGGTAGTATACTTTTAATTCTTTTAAATTTGTCAAAATTTGCTTTATGGCCTCACATATGATCTCTTCTGGATAATTTTTTATCTGTACTTGGGAAGAATGTGTATTCTGCTATTGTTGGGTGGAGAGTTCTGTAGACATCATTAGGTCTAGTTGTTTATAGTCTTGTACAGGTTTTCCATTTCCTTGTTGCTCTTCTGTCTGATTTTCTTTCTGTTGTTGTTGTTTTTTGTTTTTGTTTTTGTTTTTTGAGTTGGAGTCTCACTCTGTCACTCAGACTGGAGTGCAGTGGCCGCTCCTGGCCACTGCAGCCTCGACCTGCTAGACTCTGGCGATCCTTCCACCTCAGCCTTCCAAGTAGCTAGAACTACAGGTGTGCGCTACCACACCCAGCTAATTTTTTTGATTTATTGTAGAGATGAGGTCTTGCCAAGTTGCCCAGGCGGGTCGATTTTCTATTCATTGTGGAAATAGCTGTGCAACAGGATGTTGGTTCTGGTTCTTTGGAAAACTCTGGCTAATACAGCATAAGAGTGAGAAATTCCCGTGGGCCAAAGTTCTAGAGGGCCGTCACAGGTTCACTGACTTTGCAGGCTCTCCAAAAGTGGATACCAGAAAAGTAACCTCTTGGCTCTGGATGAGATGTTGAACTCACTAGACAAAGTCTTTAAATCAGTTATGCTAAATATATTCAATGAAGAACAACAAAAAATGTCTAAAGAAAGTATCAGAGTTATGTTTGACTAAAGAGAAAATATTAGTAAATATATATATATTCTTTAAAAAAATAAAAATTCTGGAGTTGAGAAGTACAAATCCAGAAAAAAATTGAAATGAAAAACTTCAGAAATACATTAGAAGGATTCATAAGCATATTTGAGTGGGCAGAAGATGATATCAGTAAAGTTGTATTGGAAGAGTAAGGAACAGAAATAAAAAAGGATAAAGATACTGAACAGATACTCAGATATTTGTGGGACACCATTAAGCATGCCAACATACCTGTAACAAGAATTAGAAAAAGGAGAAGGGGCAGAAGGAATCTTTGGAGAAATAATGGTCAAAAACTTTCCACATTTGAAGAAAACTATTAATCATCCAAGAAGCTCAATAAACTCTAAGTAGGATAAATTCAAAGTGATCCACACTTAAGACACATCACAAAACATAAGTCAGAAATCAAAGATAAAAAAAGGAATCTTAAAATCAACAAAGGAAAAGAGACCCATTGCATACATAGGTTCCTCAATAAGATTTAAAACTGATTTATCCTTAGAAACTATGGAGTCCAGAAGGCAGTGGGATGATGTATTCAAAGTACTGAAAATAACTGAGGAGAAATTAGTGTCTCAGACAAACAAAACCAGATTTATCACTAGCAGATCTGTACTATAAGAAATGTCAAAAGGAGTTCTTCAGACCGAAATGAAAAGACACCAGACAGTAGGTCAAATTTATATGAAAAAATAAAGGGCAATGATAAAGGTAGCTAGGTTAATATAAAAGACAGCCTAAATGTATTTTTTGCCATAACTCTTAAATTCTCCTACCTGACTTAAAAGATGACTTCTTAAAACAACAATCTATGTTGATGAGAAAATACTATATAAAGATTTAATCATATGGAAAAACAATAAGAAGAAAAGGAGAGGAATTGTAAACACATAGGAACAAAATTTTCATGTCTTGTTGAAAGTTGCTATTAATCTAAACTGTATTCTTTTATATTACTAATAAGATGTTGTTTCTCCATAGAACCTATTAAGAAAATGTCTCAAAAATATAGTCTATAGGGAATTAAAAATGTACACTAGAAAATATCTAACACAAAAGAAGACAGCAGTAAAGAAATAAAGGAGCAAAAAGATATGGAAGATATCAAAATGGCAGATATAAATCTTCATAGGTACTTGCATGCAATTTAAATTAACCAAGCACTCCAATTAGGAGGAGAGTTGAGAGAATAGAAAAAAATTTTAGTTCAACTATGGTCTGTCTACAAGTAACACACATTAGATTCCAAGGCACAAATAAACTGAAATTAAAGAGAAAGAGAAAGATATACTGTTGAAGCAGTAAGAGAGCTGGAGTGGCTAAACAAATATACAAACTAGATTCTAGAAGAAATTTTTGTTACTAAAGGTAAAGAAAAATGTGTTATAATGGCAAGAGGGTCAAACCATCAGGAAGAAATGACCATTGTAAATATATGTGCACCTAAGAAGAGATCTCAAAAATACAAGAAGCAAACACTGACAGAGTATAAGTGAAAAATAGGCAATGCAACAAGATGTGGGATATTGGAGAGTTCAATATCCCACATCCAACAATAGATAAAACAAACAAAAGATCAACAAGAAAATATAGAATTTCAAGATATGCCACATTATATGACTTAAAGTTTCCAGATTTTTAACAAAAATTATGAAACATGCAACAGAGCAAGAAATACAAATGCACAGTTAATAGCTTATAAGATGTAGTGTTTATTGCTTTTGCTTTTATATAACTTTACCTTTGAAAAAATAATCTATACAGGGACTCTTATAAGAGATTTATATGTTTGTAAATATATATATATATCCAGTTTCACAAAATATAGTCTTAAAATTTGAAGGCAACAGCCACAAAGGCATTCCAGTTCTTTTTGTTTGGGGGATAGAATTCCCCTCCATGATATCCTGATCTAGATAGGCATCAGTACTCCGCATGCACAGTTTTAGAGATTCTGTTCTTATTTCCTCTAAGACAGCCATTCTGTTTATTTCCTTGCTTTGCTATGTCTTTCACAACCATTATAGGTGATTACATTTTCTGTGATGCTAATAGAGCAAATGCTGCATTAATTTGACTTACCTAAGTTGGTAAAAATAAGCAACATCCAAGGATATGCTATTCAGGAAAAAGATCTAATAAGAAGAAAAGGTTGAAAACAAAAGGACACATACATGCCATCAAAGTACTAACTAAAAGAAAGTGGTTGTGCCTATATTAATAGGAGACCAAAAAAAAGCTAATGGGAAACAAAAGACAATTATATAAATAAGCAGAGCTACTTCATAATAATGAAATCTAGAAACTTAAAATGTTAAACTTGTATTCACATTTTCTGTGATTTTTCAACTTGCCTTATTATTTATTGCTCACATTTTTACAGTGCATGCTCTCTCTCTGGTTTAATACTGTTAAACCATTTTAAAAATAATTTTTCTTCACAGTCTGTATTCAGTGGCTTTCTTACATAAAGTAAATGAACCTCTTATTAATACTAATCCTTATTTGTGCTTACTTGCTCCTTTTTTGTTATCAGTTCTCTTTATTTATGTTCGTATTTACCTAAAGAACAAGAGTATTTGTTAGTAGCTGAGAAAGATATATTATATTAAATTATATAAAATTACCACACATATGAACTTACTGTGAATGATATAGTTTACAAAACTGTCTCTTCAGAATTCTTTCTCTTATGTCCTTGTATTGTCTATTAGAGATTAAAAACAGGCTCCCCATATAAAGAGGGATAGCTACATATTTTTACTTTGCTTTTCATTTTTACCTCTTTTGGCTTATGATTAATGTCTAATTCATTATTTTGTAAGTCATAAGTACATATCAAAATGCTTGTATCTGCATACATTCTCAAATACCTATTCTCCACAACGCAGTTACAATCTTTTTTGAGTTCACATAACTATGTTTAAGATATTATTAATTTATATATCTTGACAGAGGATCCATTCCCATCTATTTATTGATTCAAGAAGCATCTACTGGATGCCAAATCTTTGATAAGCAATATTAGGAAGACTATAATAAAACTGTATATATTGAAAAGGATAGTAAATTCCCACCCTTTCCCCCCAAAGAAATGCTAACATTTAATTCAGTTTCTTATAATAGAGGAGAAGAACATTTTCCAAAGAAAAATAAGCATCATTTTGGGGGCAATGAGAGTGAATTAATGAAAATCTTTAAAATTTTTCAGGATGAGAGAGATCTAGAGAAAGACGATGAACTGGAAATGAAACGAGGTCTTTTATACAGAGACTCTGCCTATGACAGTGATCCCGAGTATAGGTATGAACTTGGTTAATTCTGTGCATGAAGATCTTTCTCTAAAATTATCTACTTTCTAATCTTCTGAATTTGTGGGAAATTTAGAATCAAAAGGATAAATGATAATTTAAATAATTTTAACTATGTAAATTTCTATTAAAATATCTTAATATGTTTGTATTACTGATACATTTCAGTAAAAGCATATAGTCAATTAATGATGATACCTTTCATCCTACTTAAAATGTATTTGGCTACCCTGAAAATCCACATATTTTGGGATATATTTATTCTAATCTAAAAAACGGTTTCCATAAGTTTAGCTCATTAACTTTTTTTCATAATATAAAAGCAAATTCTGTTCTTGTAGCCTAAGAAGACTATAATTTGAAAAATGTTAATAATAATAAAATTTTTACAAGTTTATACCTGCAAATCTCATGAAGACTTTTGAAAGTTCTGTGTCAGTTGCCAAAAAATACAATATTAGACTTTTGAAAGTTCTGTGTCAGTTACCAAAAAATACAATATTAAATTATGGGTTTATATGCTCCAAATCCTTGAATGCTATACCGCTGATTGCTGTATATAGCAACAAATACCAGAAAAAAGCTCCAAATAATAGAATATGTTTTATTGCTAACTGGAGTTTCATACTAAAATCTCTGATCTTTTCTCTGGTAAGCTAAGCTGGACCATCTATGAGCATTTGAGAATTCTTCTGCCTCTTAAACAGGGTATAAGTGTAAGTGTGATTTTTCTTTTCCAAGGTTAGTGCCTTGTAAACAAGAGGCAATCTGAGCCTCTCATTGAGGTAACTATTATATTATAGATTAATTTGATGGAGAAGCAATTCAAAGAAGAAAAGGAAGATTTAGAGATTACACATCCTAAGGAAGAAGATCTTTTACCCTTTGTTATTCTTACTTAAAGTGATAAATTGTGTAATCCCAGCACAGTTCAAGACAGTTCAGGCAGAAGGATTGCTTGAGCCCAGGAGTTCAAGACCAGCATAGGCAACATAGTTAGACTTTGTCTTCACAAAAAAATTAAAAAATTACCCAAGCATGGCAGTGCATGCCTGTAGTCCCAACTACTTAGGAAGCTAAGGCAGAAGGATCACCTGAGCTCAGTAGGTCAAGGCTGCAGTGAGCTGTGATCATGGCACTACACTCCAACCTGGCAACAGAGAGGAGACCCTGACTCAAAACAAAAACAAGAACAAAAACCTGTACTCCCTAGATTGGCATGTGGATTAGCAACCCAATTTTGGGTACTTAACCCATATGATAAACTCTAATTTGGGCAAGAAGTGGGTAGAGTTGATATAAAAAAGATCTGATATTTAAACTTTTATATACATAATAATTACCTGGGTTGCTTCTTAAAAATAGAGATTTATGCTTTTTTTAAATCTCCACTGATCTTGTTCTTACATGTAAGTGAGACCTGGAAATCAACATTTTAAAAGATATCATGGGTAATTCTAATGCAAGTATTATAAAGACCACATTTTGAAAACCACTACTCGCCATTGATTCTTTTTTCAGTTCACTAAGCAATGTTAATGACTAGGGTTTTGAACATCCAGGACTATCTGGTACCTCTGAAATGAGAGAGCTAATTCAAGTATTTGGAAAGCTCTATGTGTACATTTTTTAGATCACTTTACAATCCTTGCTACCTCTCTTATATATATGCTTGGGCCAATAGGATGGAGTAGTCAGTCTTTCAAGGCCTTTTAATAGAATGTCTTTGATATTAGCACTAGAAACTACTGAAATGGTCAGCATAATATTTTAGTTTTATCCTAAAGTAATATTATGTAATAGGCCAGGAAGTCCCTCTGTTCTTCTTTTCATCTTAAAGGTTGGAGAACCCACATTCAATCACCTCCTTGCTAACCTTGAAGTTTACATCAGCAGAAATCAAGAGGAGGTTTGGGGTCTTGCGCCTTATTATCAACCCTCTGCAGATGCCCATTGACACAGGAGTCAAGAGGAAGTTTGTATTTGCATGAACCTCTGGAGTGACTGAATGAAGAGCTCAGCAAATCCTCTCCCCCAAAAGAAATAAAACTAGACAGAATTGTCAAAAATAGCAATTTAAAAACTCTGGGAATTGACCAAAGGCATATAACACATTGAGAAGCATTTATTTTAAAAATCTATATATATTTCCAAAGGAAAAAAAAAAGTATATTTAAGAGAAATCCAGACTCCCATTTTTATTATAGCACTATTCACAATAGCCAAGATATGGAATCAACCTAAGTGTCCATCAACAGACAAATGGATAAAGAAAATGTGGAACATATGCACAATGGAATATTATTCAGCTATAAAAAGAATTAATTCTGTCATTTGCAACAACATAAATGAAACTGGAGGATATTATGTTAAGTAAAGAAAGCCAGGCACAGAAAGACAAATATATCACATGTTCTCTCTTATATGTAGGAGTTAACAAAATTGATCTCATGGAAGTAGGGAGTAGAAGGTAGTTACCAGAGGCTGGAAAGGTGAAGAAGAAGAGAGGGATTCAGAGAGAGTGGTTAATGGTTACAAAAACACAGTTAGATAGAAGGAATAAGTTCTATAGTTAAGTAGCACAGTAGGATGATTATAGTTAACAATAATTTATTACTGTTTCAAAATAGCTAGAAAAGCTTTGGAATACTCCCAATACAAAGAAATGGTCAATGTTAGAGGTGATGGATATCCCAATTATCCTGATTTAATTACTGCATATTGCATGCATGTATCAAAATATCACATGGACCTTAGAAATATGTATAATCACTAAGTACCAATAAAAAACTAACTAAAAAATCTATTGAACCTTAATAAGAACAGAGTCTGTGGAATTTTAACTTGAAGTTTCCATCCCCACCCACTACTCCCAGGCTCCATGGCCCAAAAGTTCTACTGGGGAAATCATATTGAAAGACTGGCTGCTCTGCTGCCAGAAAGAACTAACTTTATATGGAGCAGAGCACAGGAAATTCCACATGGAGGGGCATTAATAGAAGTGATAATGATCCCTCTGCCCAACAAGCAAAGAATGCCTGAAGTCTTAATTCTGGTTGGGGTAGACAATAAAGACGTAGAGATGAGATGGTTAAAGCTAGCCCTGATAAAGTTCTAGTTACGTAGAAGGTTTTGTGCATAAATAAGGTTTTACATATGCTCAGTAGAGACTGGAGAGAGCCCTAATGAGCCACTAAGTCATGGCTGAATATGAGGCCTTGTAAAGGCAAAAAGTGAAATCCAAAGCCGACATGTAAACTGAATTTGCTTTGAGTATATTTCCTAAGCCACACATAGGTCCATTGGCAAAGGATGGAAGCTTTATAGTTATGGGCTCTGACCAATCATTTACTCATCACTAAGCTATGCTAACTTGTGGGTAGTCCTCAAGAAGCCAGGCTTTAAAATAAGGGAAACAAGCCGGGCTTGATGGCTCAGCCTATAATCCCACATTTTGGGAGGCTGAGGTGAGTGGATTTCCTGAGCCCACAGGTTCGAGACCCACCTGGGTAACTTGGTGAGACCTCATCTCTACAATAAATCAAAAATTAGCCGGCCGTTGTAGCACGCGTCTGTAGTTCCAGCTACTTGGAAGCCTGAGTCGGAAGGATCGCTGGAGCCCAGCAGGTCGAGGCTGCGGTCGCCGGGAGCGGCCACTGCACTCCAGTCTGGGAGACAGAGTGAGACTCCAACTCAAAAAAATAAAAATACGGGAAACAACAACAACAACAAACGAAGAGGCATAAGCAGCTGCACAGGGTGAAGGAAACAGAGTTTACAGCATCAGTCCATGCAAATCATTAAACAAAGAATCAAAAACAATATTAATCCTAAGAGACAGATCAGAACCCAGAGTTGCTGTAACTTTTATCCAATTTTCTACACAAGGGGATACATGTAAAGAAACACCAAAGTATGGCCCATATATATGAAAAATGAATTACTGGAAGCTGCAGATATGGTGACTCATGCTTCTGATCTCAGCACTATCAGCACTATGGGAGGCTGAGGCAAAAGAATTGCTTGAGGCCAGGAGTTATAGTCCAGTCTAGGCAAAGTAGGCTGTATCTATCCCTGTATCTACACACACACGCGCGCGCGCGCGCGCGCATACACACACACACACACACACACACACACAATAAAATAAAATAAAATAAAATAAAATAAAGAACCTGTCTTTGAGGAGGTCCCACTATTGTATTCCACAGACTTCAAGGCAGTTATGTTCAAAGAGCTAAAGGAAACCATGTTTAAAGAATTAAAAGAATGATAATGACTCATCAAATAGAGAATAGTAATAAAGAAAAAATATTTGTTTTATGTTTTCTCTGTAAAAAAAAATGTTCAGGACTTAGTACTTTATTTTTTAGTCTAGATGCACATTATGGTTATTAGCCATAGCATAGCAAATATTCAGTGTTTTCTGTAGGAAAAGCAGAATGGGAAAATATAGTATTTGTTATTTCATCTTCCAGGCATTGACCTATTCATGATAGTTGTCTCGTGTCTTTCATTACCCTTGAATTGAAACTCATTTTATATAAATCACTTATCAAGATCTTAATAAGACCCTTTAACTCTAATACTTTGGGTTTGGGGAGCCGAGTGGGGAAGGAATCTAATACTCATAAGACTTCCTTCTCACTTTTATACTGTTTGGTTTTGAGAACTTTTTAAACATTTCCTATGATTGCCCTGCCGATTCCCAGGGCCCTAGGATTCCCCCATCACCACCCCCGCCTTTTTTGGTATCTTCTACATCTATTTCAAATTCCTCCATTTTTTAGGATGCTTAACATTCTCTACATTCTCACGTATTTCTGGCACCATTTTTCTGTTCCAGCATTAGCCTGAATTTTAAAGTCCAGGCCTAAGGTGATGCTTCATATAAATAAAAATTGGCCACAATAGGAGAAAATAGAGATAAAAATTATTTTAAATCTGTGTTTAGAGTATGATCTGTTCTTTTATGGCTGTTACCTTTAATTTTTAGCAATGTTTTTGTTAATAGACTAGTATTGAGTTTAAAAAATGTTTTCAATTTTGCTTATGCAAATTTTTCAGGATGATTGGTTGACAGTGGGAACATGCTCTGTAAAAGCATTTTAACTATGAAATTATTTATTCATAGTTTTATAACAACTATATATTCTGTTCCATTGATCTATGTATCTATTGTATGCCAGTACTATGCTGTTGTGGATCCTGTACCTTTGTAGTTTAGTGTGAAGGCAGGTAATGTTGCCTCCTGCTTTGTTCTCTTTGTACAGGATTGCTTTGGCTATTCTGGATCTTTTGTGGTTCCACATAAGTTTTAGGGTTGTTTTTCTATTTTTATGTGGAATGGTATTGCTATTTTGATAGGGATTGCATTGAATCTGTAGATTGCTTTGGGTAGTATATACATCTTAACAATATTGATTCTTCCTGTCCATGAACATGCAATCTTTTCATTTTCTTGTGTTCTCTTCAATTTCTTTAATCAGTTTTTTTATAGTTCTTATTGTGTAGATCTTTTACTTTTTTGATTAAATGTATTTCCATGTATCTTATTTTTGGTAGCTATTATAAATGTGATTGCTTTCTTGGTCTCTTTTTCAGATTGTTCACTGTTGGTGTACAGAAATGCTGATTTTTGTATGTTGGTTTTGTATTCTACAACTTTACTGAATTTGTTTATTAGTTCTGAGTTTTTGATGATGTCTTTAGGTTTGTCTAAATATTAGATCACATTTTCTGAAAACAAGGACTTGTTTCTTTCCATTATGGATACCCTGCATTTTTTTCTATTGACTAATTGCTTTGGCAAGGACTTCTGGTATTATATGATATTAAATAAAAGGGGTGAAAATAGGGATTTTTGTCTTGTTTCAAATCTTAGTGGAAAGACTTTCCATTTTTTCCCATTCAGTATATTAGCTGTGAGTTTGTTGTATATGGCCCTTATCATTTTGAGATATGTACTTTTTATATTCAATTTTATTAAGAGTTTTTATTATGAATGCCTGTAGAATTTTATCATATGTTTTTTCATCATCTATTGAAATGATTATATGGTTTCTGTCCTTGATTCTGTTGATGTGATGTATCACATTTATTGATTTGCCTTTGTTGAACTATCATTGCATCCCTCGAATGAATACCACTTGATCATGGTTAATGATCTTTTTAAAGTGTTGTTGAATTTGATTTGCTAGTATTTTGTTGAGCGTTTTTGCATATATTCGTTAGTTATATTGGCCTGTAGTTTTCTCTTTTTTTGTATCTTTTTGATTTTGATGTCAGGGTAATGCTGGTCTCATAGAATGAGTATTTCTTCTTTCTTAGCTTTTTTGAATAGTTTGAATAGACTTGTTATTAGCTCTTTTTAAGTGTTTGGTAGAATTTAGCAGTGAAGCTATCAGCTTTTGTGCTTTCTTTTGGTAGGAAACTTGTTATTACTGCTTCAGTCTTGTTACTTGTTATTTTTTTTGTTCTGATTTTTTTATTTCTTCATGATTCAATCTTGGTCCTTGTACATTACCAGGAACAAACTTCATAATTTTTAGCAGACCTGAGAGGTCTGATATATAGCAAATATTTTATTTATTGAGGTAGTTCAATTATTAATTTAAGAAACAAAGTCTTTGAAGAAATCAACATTTTATTTGTAAAAAATCTGTTAAGCTCAGAACTTAATGTTTATAATAGTAAAACTGTAGCATTGATATTATCAAAAAAGTATTATCAACACTTCAGAAGGAATTGCCTTTTCCCCTCTATTGTTATCACAGTTAGCCTAGTCCTGGTCAATTCCATTAGCTTCCTATCTACTTGCTCTCACTCACATGCACACTATCTTCCTCTTTTTTCTTCAAGTCTCTCAAAACTACATGAATGCCTATTACTTTAAATTCTGAATCTTCTGCCTCATTTCCATTTTCTATAAATGGTTCATATTCAGACTAATTTTCTACTTCGTCTTCAGGACAATAGCAGCATGACATAGTAGAAAAAGCCTTAGAGTCACAGACATAGTCTTCTCTTTCATATTTTATCACTTACTAGCTGAGTAGTCTGAAGCAAGTTACATAACTTCACTAAGTCTTCATTTCCACATGTACTAACTTCTATGGTTGTCAGATTCATTAATAAATATACATAAAGTACCTGGTCCGGGGCTTCATATTTAATAACTTATGTGTCCAAGCTAAGCACTGTACTATGCACTTTGAATATTTCTCTTTAATTTTCAAAACAATCTTGCAAAAATACAGTGGAGGAATCTGAGATTTTGAATGGTTAAATAAATTTCCCAGGGTCCTTCAGCTTATTTAGGACTTATCTGGAATTCCATTCCAGTTATGTCTTACTTTTAGAGGCAAAGCATTTTCATGCTGGCCATCCCATACCACCTGTGCTCTGCTTTTACCATGCTGCTTCTGACTCTGTTCTCTGAACTCCTTCTTAACTCTGACACTGAATTTTCATTTATTGTTTTGTAACAGTTTCATGCAGATAGTTCTGCTTCCCCTTTTAACATATTACTCCTTGAAAGCATAGACCTTACTGTGTTTTATTTCTTACAGCCTAACAGAGTATTAAATACTCATGCAGTACTCCATAAATATTTGATGTATTGATTTTATTTGATATACTAGTAACTTCTAATTTAGTTTCATCATAATTTTAAACCTTTTTAAATTTTTTTTTATTTTTTGTAGCTCATTTCAGCAGCCACATGGTCCTCTCAATTTGGATGACAGCGAATACTGGTCCAACAGCGCAGCCTCTTATAAGGAAAAATCCCACCGACCCATCTTTGAGAACAGCATGGACAAGATGTACAGGAACTTATACAAAAAGGCCTGTAGTTCTGCTTCTCATACACAGGAAAGCTTCTGAGACCATTCACGATAAACTGTATAAGTGTCCATGTAACTTCTCAATGAAAACATTTGATGTGATCAATATCTGTATTTCTTTTCTTTAAACAGGTGATTACAATTGACTATAGTAGTTAGACTTAAATAAGTTTGCTACTTCAAATGGTATATTACCATAGGCAAGTATTTCTTTTTTATTACAGAAGAATGTGCTATGTTCCAAATTTCAAAGCTCTGTGATGTAATCACAACGTTCAACATATGACAAAGATATTCTGTTACAATTATCTATTATCACCATCTAAAAATTCAAGAATAGCCTCTCTCTAAAATTGTTCTTCTACCTTACTCATCTTGTAATTTTCTTTTCATCTACTTTACTGCTTATCTTGTCTATGTGGATTTAATTAATATTAACTTCCTTATTTTTTGGTAATGAGCAACAAGATAATACTATACAGAAATAAATTTCCCAAGAGTGTTAACCCTGTTTTAAGTAGAATTTTCTACTTTTTTCTTTCTCAGAAAAGGCTATTATATAAGATTTCTTTTTAAAGCATGTACGGTCATTCACTTTTTTTTCTGGAAGAAATACTTATCCTAAAATATATAATAAATAGCTAGAAATAGCAGTGGCTGTGGATGATGCAAAATGTGCACAACTAATTTTTAAGATATAATTATTACATGATTTTTTCCCCTAAGGCCATAATTTTGGTGCAAAGAGAATCAGAAAATAGCCTTTTTAGTAAGCGTATAAAAATTCAAAAAGAATAAGGGAATTATATTGTAATTTGATCTCTTTGGAATTTATGTAGGTAACATATGGCCCAAGGAAGTAGTACCCTCACTTTCAAGAACACTTGGAACCACAAGAAGTGTAAAATATTAGAGCAGAATGCTTTGTAGACATTCAAAATACATTGAGACACTAAATAATCTATTGGTTGATTGATAAAATTATCTCTTCCTTCTCCACCCCAACACACCTCTGTAAGGCCAATAACAGGTTGAAGAGACAAAGAAATTAATTACTTCATTTCTACCAGACAGTGAGAGGAGGGAAAGCAGAGAGTAGGAAATAAGCTAACTTAGCTTATGGCCTGACGAGTTGACTACAAGATAGTGTTTTTTCATTGACTCTGTTTTTGCTTAATTTTGCAATTATAATCTTAAAAAGAAAAAAATGACTTGAATGTCATATAAATTAAAATTAAAATGCAATTTAGTGACTTATTTTTGCTTTTTTATTTTTAAATTTTAGATTCAGGGTGTACAAGCTCATGTTTACTACATGGACATATTGCATACTGATGGGGATTATTTTTGTAATAGAACTTTTGGACTATCCTATTAAGAGTGTTTTAGTAGAGCATTCTGTGATAGATAAGAAAGGGCATTAGAGCTACCTCTATGGGCCAGGAATCCTAGGCTTTAGTGTCCCATCTCTACCATTTTCTAGCTGAGTCTCTTTAATTCTGTGTTCTTTCATTTCCTCTGCTATCAAATGAGAAGAATGTAGTATACCCCAATGTTCTGTGGACCAGGACCACTGTTTTAGGTTGTTATTGTAGGAATATAGATATAAGTATTTCATTTGTCATGTAAGTTTAGGAAAATTTGTTTACTGCACACATGGCATGCGCGCGCGCACACACACACACACACACACACACACCCTCTTAGAGAGTCATATGTAGGATGATGGGGGTGAAAAGGAATATTGTTAATGCTAGAACAGCAGTTATTAACTGGGTCTATCTATGGCAAACTAGGACACATAGTCACCATAGTGATTGTGAACACGTGTTAGAGGCTTTAAGAATATTCCAATATAAATCTGTTTTGCTCTAGCATCTAGGAGAGTCTGGCACACAATTGATGCTTCTTAAATATTTATTGAACTAACTCAGAGTTTCCTAAATTAAGTTGAGCATTTAACAGTATTTCTTATTATGACCACCATCTCCCACTCCCCTAGCTCTCCACTCTCCTCCCCAGATGCCACTCTCAGGTACATGTGGACACTGACTGGAGAGATACTGAAATAGACAATTGCTGAGGTAACATGATGATGTTTTGCACAATAAGCTTTTGAAGGTCAACATTGAATAATGCTCTTTTTTAAAAAATTGTGTCCTCATTGTAAATTAGTGTGTTTTTCTGTGGGGGAAAAAAATGAACAACTCCTTTGTTTAGAAGTTGCTGTTTGGTGGAAAAAAACCAAATATGACCTTTGAAGAAAATGTTTTACTATTACAGAAATCTTCTGTAAGAATAAATACCACAAAAATTACTTATTGCACCTGTATCTCACACTAGCTATAACAAAGGCCTCAAAAAGTCAGGCTCAAAGGAGAACTTTAGAAACTTATATTCTGAAAGATATTTTCCTGTGGATTACATTTAGCATCTTTCTGAAGATGGGGCAAATTTCTAAACATGCAGCATCTTTGCTAAGTGTCTGAGTTTCTTCTATTCCCCAGGGGAAGGAGTGGTCTTTGTTGCTCTGTTACTGTGAGTTATTATGCTGTATTGTTTTTAAAGAGTAAAACCTTTTTAAGTACTAATTGCTGTCTTTTCTCATTCATGGAAGCAGAAAGGTGCAGTTGTAGATGATAAAGAAGTCATAAGCAGCAGTTGTGTTGTAACTTCTAAAGTGTAAACCCCTGATTAAAAATTTGGAGCAAATAGAGAATTCTCATTATTGTGTTCATTTACTAATTATAACTTTACTGAGATATGATTTACTCTGAAAAAGTGTACAATTAAGTGGATTTTGCTATATTCACAGAGTTTTTCAACAGTAGCCACTAGCTAATTATAGAATATTTTATCACCCTCAAAAGAAATATCATACCTCTTAACAATCAATTTCCATACTTCCTCCCCCCAACCCCTGGAAATCACTAATCTGCTTTTTGTTTCTATGCCTATTCTGAACGTTTCATATAAAGGGAATCATATAATATGTGTCTGGCTTAATTCAATCCACATGGTACTTTCAGAGTTCATCCTTGTTATATCATGGATGAGTACTTTATTTTTATTACTAAATAATAATCCAGTATATGACTGTACCATATTTTGACTGATCCATTCAGTTGATGGACATATTGGTTGTTTCTGCTTTTTGGTTATTACAAAATACTGCTATGAACATTTGTATACAGTTTTTTTGTATGGACATATGGTTTCATTTCTCTTGAGTATACATCTAAGTGTTGAATTGCTAGGTCATTTGGAAACTCTATGTTTAACATCTTGAGGAACTACCTGATTGTTTTCCAAAGTGACTATACCATTTTACAACTATCATGTTCATTTTTATCTTAAGATCTTAGGCTAGTTACACACTCAAGCCCCATCCATCCATTCATTACATATGTGTTGAGCACTATGTTAGAAGTAGAGGGTATACACTTTTAAAAACGTATTTTTTCACCAAAAAATCAAATTAAATGGAGACTTAAGTGTAAAACCTTAAAATCATAAAACTCTTAGAAGAAGATGTAGGGGGGAGAAACCTCCTTGAAATTGGTCTTGGCAGTGTTTTTTGTTTTGTTTTGGTTTGGTTTTTTTGGTGGATATGGCATCAAAAGCACAGACAACAAAAGCAAAAATTGGTGGGACTACATCAAACTAGAAAGCTGCATTGAAAAAGAAACTATGAAAAGACACCCTTTGGAATGATGAAAAATGATTGCAAGCCATATATCAAACCAGGGGTTAATATTTTAAATATATAAGGAACTCATACAACTTAATACAAATAACTCAATTTTAAAATGAGCAAAGGACCTAAATAGGTAATTCTCAAAAGAAGAAATTCAAATGGGCAACAGGAAGGTGAAAAGATGCTCAACATCTCTAATTATCAGTGAAATTCAAATCAAAACCACAATGAGGTGTCACCTCTCATGTGTTAGAATGACTATTTTTAAAAGATAAGAAGTCTTAGCAGGGATTTGGTAAAAAGGCAACTGTTGTACACCGTTGGTGGAAATGTAAATCATAGCCATTATGAAACTCAGTATGAAGGTGTTTCAAAAAATTAAAAACAGAACTACCACATGCTCCAACAATTCCACTTCTGGGTATATATCCAAAGGAACTGAAACTGGTATTGCAAAGAGAAATCTGTACATAGGATGTCCATTACAGCATTAGTCATAATTGCCAAATATGGAAGCAACCTAAGAGTTCATCAATGGATGAATGGAAAAGAAAACATGATATGTAAATACACTGAAATACCAAATGACCTTTAAAAAAAGGGGATGAGGTTGCATGGCATTATGCTAAGTGAAATGAGCAACACACAGAAAATTACCATGTGATCTCACTCATATGGCAGTCTAAAATGGTCAAGCTCATACAAGCAGAGAGAAGGATGGTAATTGCCAGGGACTGGAGGTAGAAAGAAATGGGGAGGAAAATATTGATCAAAGGGTATAAACTTGCAATTATGCAAGATGAGTACATTCTGGATACCTAATGTACCACATGGTGATGTATAGTTAATAAACTGCATTATAAACTTGATATTTACCAAGAAGCTAGATTTTACATCGTCTCAACTTCCAGCAAGATGACGACGGAGCAGCTTGGTCTGTGAGACCCTCCATGAAAGAGAACACACATAAAGACTCTAGTTCTCTCCAGGGGGTGCAGCTCCCATCATCGGCAGCCTGCTCTTCACACAGACCTCAGCCACGGCCACAGCTCAGACTCCTTGGTGGTCTGGGCTGCCGATGCAGCCACAGATGCCACTGCAGCCACAGATGCCGCCACCGAGGCCATCACCCCAACCATGCCTGAGGTGACCCATGACTTCAGACCATGAAGCCCCAGGAAGCACGATCTACTGAGATAGCCACCGCTGCTCCCACTGCCACGCCCCACCCCTCGCATGGAGTCAGGCTCATGGAACTCCTTCCATGTACTGTGAGGCAGCTGCCGCCACCACCACTACCATTGCCTGCTCCCCCCTGTCCTGGGCAGCCTCCTGCATTTCCTGGCAGCCTCCAGCTGTTGTGAATAAAGATCAACTAGAGCAGGAGTAAACCTACAACCCCACTTCATGGACAGATTCCAAGGCAGTGGGAAGTGAGTTTCAGATTATCCATACACCTGTCAGCGGATACCAGGATCTGCAGATAGATTTTGAATCACAGCTCCCCCTTTAATTAAATCTCAAAACTGCAAAAAGGACTGCCCCAACCTACAGTCCAACTCCAGAATTGAACAAAGCAAGAGGATATATATAAAGAAGAATAGGAGACTGAACAAACAGAAGTCAAAGCAAACTCTCCATCCCTGAACAACAGAATTAAAGAAGACAGTGAAGTGGAGGGAAGGAAAAAGTAGAGAGGAAAAATCTGCACAAGTGAAGAAAAACCAAAAGAGGAATATAGGTCTCACACAGACCCCTGGGAGGTCAGACACTGAGAAAACAGACTTCAGAACACAAAAAATGAAGAGTCCCCAGAATGACTGGTCACATGCAACAAACCCAGACATCAAGACATTAATAGAGATAATTTTAAAAATTGAGAGACAAGAGGAAAATAGGAAGGAACTGATGACAGAAATAACAGCAGTAAAGAATACTGTGATGAAAATAAATAATAAATGAATAAGCATGGAAAGCAGAATTAGCCAAGCAGAAGAAAGAATCTCAGAGCTCAAAGACCAAAACATGGAACTAACTGTCAAAAACATAGAAAAGAAGCTTTAAAAGACAGAACAAAACCTTCAAGAGATGATTACTTCAAGAGAAAAAAAACTAAGAGTAATTAGCTTTCCTGAGACAGAGAGAGAAGCAGAGGCCACACTGGAACAAATGTTT